TTTATTTTTGACAAGGATAGAGTCCATCTTATGGGGAAAGAATGGTCTCTTTCTTTAACATGTGGTGCTGAGACCTCTGGATTTCCACATGCTAAAGAATGAAGTTGGACTCTTACTTAACACATGCAATAATTAACTCAAAATAGACCTAAATTAAGAGTTAATGTCATAAAACTCTTAGAAGAAGGCACAGGGGAGCAATTCCATGACCTTGGACTCAACAATAGATTCTTAGCTATGACACCAAAAACATGAGCAACCTAAGAAAAAAATTAATTCAACTTCATCAAAATTAAAAATTTTGGGGACCTGCAGGTGGTGTGGTGGATAGAGGTGCTGGATTCCTACTCATTCGACCACAGCTCAAGTTCCAGACCTGGCGGCTTGCTTTCTTACTGTCCCTTTCTCTCTGTCTCTCTCTGGTCAGATTAAAAATAGTAAGTGGAACTAAAAAATGTTTTTAAAAAATTAAAAACTTTCATGAATCATGGAACACTATCAAGAAAGTGAAAAGACAATCAACAGAATGGGAGAATTATTGGTAAACCACATAACTGATAAGGGTCTAGTATACATAATATATAAAGGACATTCAACAACAAAAAGACAACCCAAATTGATTTGATTTGATTTAATTTAGTTATTATTATTACTTTTTAACTCGCTGTAGTCACCAGAGAGAGACAGACAGAGGGGAAAGTGAGAAAGCAAGTTGCCAGTTCCAGGACTCAAACTGCAGTCATGTGGTAATTCAGCACCCTAACCACGCCACCTGTCGCCCCCCTCAATTTAAAAATAAGCAAAAGAGTGAGGCCAGTAGGTGTTATGGTGGCTAGGGGCACTGGACTCCCACATGGCCAATCATGGTTCGGGTCCCTGACCTGGTGGCTTGCTTTCTCACTTTCTTCTCTCTCTCTTTAGCTCTGTCTCTCTCCGGTAAATCAAATACATACGTACATACATATATACAGCTAAATAAATTAATTTTTAAGAAAATAAGCAAAAGAGGGCAAGCAGGTGATTAAGGCACTGGACACTCCCACATGGCTGATCATGATTTGAGTCCCAGATCTGGTGGCTTGCTTTCTCACTTTCCCTCTCTCTGTCTCTCTCTGGTCAAATTAAAAAATAATAATGAATGAATAAATAAAATTAAAATCATTTTTAAAAATAAGCAAAAGATTTGAATAGATATTTCTCTAAAGAAGATACGCAAATGGTCAATAAACACATGAAAAGATACTCAACATTATTAATCATTAAGGAGAAGGAGAAAAAGAGAGGCTTGGCTTTGTGGAGCAGTGCTGTTCAAGAGAGGTTGGAGCCCACATGGTGACTACAGTTCAAAACCCTAGCCTGATCTCCCTAAAATATGTTGGATATATGTACAAGTGCCTAGGATGTGATGGGCTGGAGGACTGGAGGAAGAGGATCGCGAAGTTACCAGACCTTGAGGAGGATGCTTCTCTCTCTCTTGCATACGTATTCTTTATCGTGTATGCAGAACAAAGAATTTTTTAAAAGAGGGAGAAAGAATGAGAAAATAGCAAGTGTTGGTGAGGATCTGTGCGCCCAGTTGGTGCTTGGCACATATTAGGGGCTCACAAACTGTGTGCTAAATTAATAAACCCATGTATATATAAATGGGCACCAATCAGTGGCTTGAACTGAGCTGGAATTTTGAAATTCTGAAACTCATCCAGGAAATCCAGGGGAATGAGCTGGGTGCCTCTATGGCATTCTGAGAGGGCCAAGGAAGATACCTTATTCAAATGTGGCCAATTTTAGGCAAACTTTAAATGTGTCTATTTGTAAATGTCTCTATTTGTGACATAGGAGAACTAGCCAGTGCATAAAATTGCTATGCTGGGCAGCCCTCTAGCCCCCCCCCCAAAAAAAATACTTGGGGGCTGGCAGGTAGTATAGTAGTTAAGGTGGCTGGACTCCCACATGGCTGACCAGACCTGGCAGCTTGCTGTCTCACTTTCTTTCTCTGTCTCTCTTTGGTCAATTTCTAAATAAACAAATAAATAAATAGTGACAATAAATTTTTTTAAAAAACTTGAGTTACTGCTCTGAAAATTACAGAGCAGCATCAAAGAAGCTTAGCGCTTACACACACGTAAAAAGCGTTTACACACACGTAAGCCATCAAGTTTGTTGGGTACCTTCAAGCATCTACGATTCCTCACCACCACGTGCTTTGAGACTTATGAGCCCTGAGAATGCATTTATAATACTGACTCCCATAGGAAAACCAATCAAGTCATGCAAGTTTTGCATTGTGCTCTTTGGGATCTTGCTCAGGAAATCCTGGCTGGATGGCTGATTGGGACAATGAATAGAAAGAAGGGCTGGCAGTGCAGGGAGGGGTTGAGTGAATGAATAGATGTGCAAGATGGTCAGACACCTTCATGGCAGGCAATTGAGAGAGGGGAGGTGAAACTGTCAAGCCCTAGAGTGGAAGCGCTAAGGAATGGAGTGGTCTGCTCTTCTCCCCAGTCTGCAAATCCTTTAAGAACTGTTATTTTGATCGAGACCAGTGGATCTAACACTCCAAAAACCTTCAGACCCTTTTCTTCTTTTAGAGATTTTTGCTATAGGGCAAATGTGCTCACCAGACAGACAGACAGAGAGAGACAGAAAGCAAGAAATCACCCCCCAGGGGCATGACCACACTGCAATCCCTTCTCCTCTTGGGATTTTGGACATGCACGCACGCATGCCTGGTTTGAGTTTTAAGCCACCAGGTCGAGGACTCGAACTGTGGTTGACTGTGAGAATCCAAAGACATAACCATTACACCATCTGCTAGACTCCCTTTTCTTTTTCTTTGGAGAGTACTGGCATGAAACAAAAGGTCACCCCACGAGACCCTTTCCCAAGTGAGTACATGGAAACAGATGGGGGAACCGTTTGTGAAAGCTACTGAAGACTACTGTCTGAGCCTCAGGTTCTTCATCTATAAAATAGGGACACTTACATTTGCCCCATCTACTTGCCTCACACTTGCTCTTAGAACATATGTGCGTATATAGCATTTACACACACGTAAGCCATCAAGTTTGTTGGGTACCTTCAAGCATCTAAGATTCCTCACCACCACGTTTCCCTCAGGACAACTAGAAGGACAGGATTATTGTTGTTATTTTACACCCCTTTTACAGTCTGGTAAACCATGGCTCAGAGAAGCTTAGGAACTGCCCTCAGCTAAACCTGAGCCCAACACCCCCAGGCTTCCCACTGCCCTACTACTGAAAATGGATGTCAGTAAATTCCACAGGCAGAGAATTTACAGTGAGCGCACACAAAGGGGTGCAGTCTGTGGCATCCTGGACTGAAAGCCACATGGCCAAATGTAGTCTGATCCTTGGTCCAGTGGACTTGAAATATGCCAGGCACATGTGTGCCAAAGATCGACAGGCTGGAGGAAGGGGACTGTGGGGTCACCGACCCTTTCAAGGGAGCTTCTTACCTTCTCCCTCCTGTATGTGCACATATGCTCTCTATCATTAATCAAAAACAAACCAAAAAAGTTCATGGAAAATGTACGCTATGACAAAACTGAGGTCAGTAGGTTGCATGGCGGTTAAGGCGTTGGCACCCATATGGCCAACTGCATGCTTCCAGTCTTAGACCTGGAGACTTGAAAACACACTGGGTTGGGGCCAGCAGGTGGTGTTGTGGTTAAGGGCGCTGGACTCCCACATGGCTGACTGCAGTTCGAGTTCTGAACCTGGCAGCTTGCTTTCTCACTTTCCCTCTCACTCGCTTTCTGTTCCTCTCTAGTCAAATTAAAATAAAACAAATAAATAAAGATAAAAATAATTCTTAAACAAAAACACTGGGTGCATGTGTGTGCATACACAAAACTCCAAGAGGAGAATGGAGAAGGGACTGTGGCATAGTCATGCCTCTGCAGAGTGATTTCTCACTTTCTCTCTGACTCTCTCCAGAGAGTACACATGCCCCATGGCCAAAAAAAAAAAAAAAAAACATTAAAAAACATTTTGCAAGGATTTCAATTTTTTTAAAAACTTGACCTTCTCCCTTTCTCCTCTTAGGATTTTGGGCTCATGTGCACACACACCCAGGATGTTTTCAAGTCACCAGTACCTCATGACCCTAAAAACAGACACCTGGGGGCCAGCAGCTGAGGTGAAGGTTAAGGCAGCTGGATTCCACCTAGCAGACTTCGCAGTTCAAGTCACAGACCCAGTGGTTTGAGAACTGCACTGGGGACATGTGCGTGTGTGTTCAAAATCCTGAGAAGAGAACAGAGAAGAGATTGCTGCATGGTCATACTCCCCCCCGAGGCGGGGGGTGATTTCTCACTTTATTTCTTTCTCTCTCCCTCTCTCCTTTTCCCTCCCTCCCTCCTTTCCTCTTTCCTCTCTCTCTCTCTCTCTCTCTCTCTGGTGAGCACCTGCGCCCTATAGCTAAAACTGAAAAAAAATTAAAAAATTAAAAAGCAGAACTTAGCCATGTACCTTTAAGACAGAGCCACAGATCAGTGGATAAGGTAACAATGCTAACATGGGCAGTGGTCTAGGATGAGCTCTGCCCATGTTGAGCTGCACAAATAGGAAAGGCCAGAGGAGTCTTTCCAATGAGACTTATAGATCGTTATCATGCCAAGCTGTTGACCTTCGCCAAAATAACCCGCTGACCTGAACACCGTATGCCAGCCAAAGCTATTTTTATATCTTGCAAACTAAACCCAAGCAACAGCTGCCTGGTGCCAGAGCCATCATGGGCCTCTCTTTAATAAAGACAGAAAACGGCTGGGTTCCAACAGGTGCTGGCCAGAGGCCAACCAAGGGCAGGGGAGGGGTGGGGATCATGACCCTGTTTCCCAGCTCCCCCCACAACACCCATATCGCCATTCCTGGCAAGGTCTTGGCAGGATGGATAGGGTAGAATGTCAGCCTCCAGCAATCCCCTTCTGCGCTTAGATGTTTGCTCCCACCAGGATCAAGCACCGAGCATTTGTCACTTACCGTCACTGAAGATGCAGCCACCAGCTCCATTCTCATGTGAGCCTGACGGTGCCCACGGGGTGACTAAGGGAACCTAGCCCACAGAGTGTCACCTTTCAGCAAGAGGCTGGTGGCCTGCATCAGGCCATGGGGGAGGGACTTGGACCAGCCAGTGCTCCAACACTGTCAGTTTCTCCAGGTTGGCTGTGCAGTACGGTCTTATCTGTCCCTCACACGCTCGAGCCATTCGCAGAGGTCCTGGCTCGGTTCTCACCTGACTTCAAGCTCAGGTGTTTAAGAGGCTGTCTGCCTTCTCTGGGGAATGCCACCTCCCGCTGGCTTGCCACACTCCTGTACTTAAGCCTACTTCCCTGCTCATGCAATCCCTCCTTGCCCAACTTCACGGCTCTGGAGTAGGTTTTTGTTTGCTTGTTTTCAATGTGGCTTTTTCTTGTTTTGTTTAAGAATTATTCTTTTGCACTTCATATAACTTAGTTATTTATCATCTTCAATTAGATCAGAGAGGGAGAGAGAGAGAGAAAGTAAGAAAGCAAAGCTGCCGGGTTTGAAACTTGAACTGTGGTAGGCCATGTAGGAGCACAACATCCTTAACTACCACACCACCTGCCAGCCCCTGGAGTAGGTTTTAAACGCTCCATAGTCACGACAGCCTGAGGAAGGAGAACAAGGTAGAAACAGCCCCCATCCTGAGGATTTCAGATGCCTGCTGGAGAGGAGGGTGGGGCTCAGCATAAATTGGGATTGACCACCACCTGCAGGTCTATGGACAGAGAAGCTACAGCATCAGGATGAAGAGTAGGTGGCCAAGGATCTGCCAGCTGGCAGGCCTGTGGCACAATGTCCTTTTGCAAATCCAGAGGTATTTAAAGTGGTAGAAGCAAGCCAGGTATGCCTGCCAAGCTGACTGGTAGACACCTTAATCTGGACTCTAGCTTGTGGGGTTTGGGGTGTCACAGCTGTCTGTTTCCAAAGGTGCCTGCTCCAGACCAGCCACAGTGATGTACGCTGTTAAGATGCTGTGTTACGCAGGCTGGGGCCACATGGGAGTTCCAGGTTCAATTCCCAAGCCAACTTATAGGCCTGGCACCTGAAATTTTCAGTGACTAGGGAGGTTGAGGCAAGAGGATCAAGCTTGAGATCAGTCTGGGTACCACAGTGAGACCCTATCTACCAAAGAACTGGGCGTGGCGGTGCATGCCTTTGGTCCCAGCTGGGAAGCTGAGGCAGGAAGATGGCAACGTGGTGAGACTCTGTCTTTAGGAGAAAAAGAAAAAGAAAAAAACATAGCCTAGTGGTTAAGAGAGCCAGATCAGACATGGCTGACTGCAATTCAAATCCTAGTCCCAGAGGCTTGGCAAATACACCAGACACATGTGCACATGTGCCCCAAATCCCAACAGGATGGAGAGAGAGAGGGAAAGGGACCACTGTATGTCCACTCCCCATTGAGAGGTGCTTCCTCCTTCTCTTTCTCTCTTTCTGGTGTGTGCTCCCAAAATAAATAAATAAATAAACTTAAAAAATAAATAAATAAAAGCTATTTGCTTCTACCTGCAGCCTAACTCAGAGAAACATGACATGAAGATTGCTCTCAAGACCAATGTCCTTGCTTGCAGATGAGCAAACAGAGGCCCAGAGGTCATGTGGAAAATGAGCTATGGACTCCAACAGCCAAGACAAGATCCCCAACTGCAGGGGCCAGCAGGTGGCAAGGTAGTTAAAGTCGCTAGACTCCCACGTGGCTACCTGCAGTTCAAGCCCCAGACCTGGCAGCTTGCTTTCACACTTTCCCTCTCTGTCTCTCTCTAGTCAAATTAAAATAAATAAGTAAAGTTAAATAAAATAATTATTTAAAACTTATTATTAACTTTATTTAATTTGACCAGAGGAAGAGAGAAAGTGAGAGAGCAAGCCACTAGGTCTGGGATTTGAATCACAGTTGGCTATGTGAGAGCCCAGTGCCTTTAACCACCATGCCATCTGCTGACCTACAGAACCCAGAAAACAGTTCTTAAAAAAAAAAAACAAACTTAAACTGTAGGCTAGTGGTTTTTTTTTTTCCCCCTATTTGCTATAAAGCACGTGTGCTCACCAGAGAGAAACAGAGAGAGAGAAAGGAAGAAAGTAAGAAATCACCTCCTAGAGGGAAGGCCACACTGCAATCCCTTTTCCTCCACTCTCCTCCTAAGATTTTGGGCATGTATGCGCATGCACACACACATACACACATTCAGAGAAATTTTCAAGCCACCAGATCTGAGACTTGAACCATGGTTGGCCATGTGGGAATTCAGTACCTTAACCACCACACCACCTGCTGGCCTCCTGCAACCATCACTTGTAAGGAGAGATTATTCTCTGATACTCTTCGACTATAAGCACTAACATGGGGGTCTTACGGTAATAATTTTTTAAAGAATTGTTATTATTTTTTAATTTGACCAGAGAGAGACACACACATACACAGAGAAAGGGGGAGGGAATGTGAAAAAGCAAGCCACTAGCTCTGGGATTCAAACTGTGGTCGCCAATGTTGGAGTCCAGCACCTTAACCACCATGCCACCTGCTGGCCCTATGCTAGTTTTTTGAAAGAGATTTTTACTATAGAGCATGTGCGTTCCCCAGAGGGACAGACAGAAAGTGAGAAAGCACTCCCCAGGGGGGATGGCCACACTGCAATCCTTTCTCCTCCATTCTCCCCTGGGGATTTTGGGCTCCCATACACATGCACCTAGCGTGAGTTGAGTTTTAAGCTGTAACCATTATGCCATCTGCTGGTCCCTATGCTAATGATTAATAACAGTGCCTTCTATTCCAATGAGTGTCTTGCATTAAGGACCTTGCCTATTCCTCCTGGCAGCCCTGGAAGGGAAGTATTGTTTTTATCCCATTTTGCAGATGAGAATTAGATGACCAGAGAGGTAGAGTGACTTGTTCAAAGTCACACAGCTTACAGGTACATGGTCTGCCTACGTACAGTGTTAGGACTGTGAGAGATGGAGACTGGCAGGCTATTGATGCGATTGACTAACTGGCTATTCTTCTGGATCAGCAGAATCAGAACCCTGGAAAAGAGAAAGAGTCACCAAATCTCACACTTAAGTCAGGTCAGATTATCTGTTTATTCAGGAATTCCCTACCCCAGCCACTATTGTTAAAGCATATAACACAAGTGGACTTTGGGTCAGCAGATGGTGTGGAGGTTAAGGTCCTGGATCTCACTTGGCCAATCAAGCAGTTCAAGTCCTGGACCTGGTGAAAAAAATCACATATGTGTGAGCATGTCCAGAACCCCGAGAATGAAGAAGGGATAGCAATATGGCCAACCCCACAGGGGTGATCTCTCACTTTCCCTTTGTGTCTATCTCTTCTTGGTGAGAGCACACACCCTACAGCACAAACAAAAAAAATGGGGGAGGGGCACTTCGAGACATTTACAGAAAAATGGAATTTGACTTTTAGTGCAAAAAAATGGAAATTCATCCATGGTTTTTCATAATATGCATTTCCCACAAACTTTTCAAAATCCCCTTTGAATTATATCTCTGGTTTCACACCAAATTCTAAACCACTTGAGCCTAGAGTCAAGGACAGGTGCATAGCATTAAAGCCCTATGGTTTTAAAACACTGTAAGGTAGGAAAATATATTTGAGAAGTCTTGATTTCAGTCCCCACCACCATCAGTCAGGAAGAGGTTCAAGTGTCCTATGGCCCTCTGGAAAAGTACACAGCACAACTGTAGTTCCTGGTACACTGTAGGTGCTCACTTAATGCCTGTTGAGCCAAACTGAACTTTTCTTAATTGTCAAGGGGCACGTTCACTCTTCAGAGACACAGACAGAGAGAGGGAGAAAACACTCCTGTCCCAATGGGGTGTGGTCACATGGCAATGCCTTCATTTCTCCATCCTGCTGAGATTGTGAGCATATACGCACATGCATCTAATGTGTTTTTTCAGGTCACTGGGGCTGGGCTTTGAACCATGGTCAGCCATATGAGATGTGACTCTCTTAACCACTAGGCTATAAAGCCAGCCCCTCTGTTTACCTACTCCTTCCATCAGAGAAACACAAACAGGCACCCCAACAGGGTCTTTGTGTTGACATACCCCAGCTTCGGCCAGCCAGGATGATGGGCATGCATGTGCACTTGGTATGAACAGGGAGACCTGTGGACATGAACTGGGAACCTTCCCCAGGCCAGCGTTGTAGTGTTGCATTACTGCTGAGCCACTGCTGCTGGCCTTAAACCAAACGTTTGATGTACTAATCTGCCTGCCCAGGCTGAACTGGTTCCAGATTGGCCTCTGCTTTGGAGGAAGGTAAAAGCAGGTTTTCCATCTCCAATGGAAAAAGGTGTTCTGCTGCCTTGACAGTGTATCGGCTGATCTGCTCAGCTTATGTCTCACTTGACTCATCCCTGCAGGAATTACTGAAGTCCAGTGTCAGACTGTCCTAGGTCCTGGGGCCGGTCTACCTTCCCAGAAGGAAGTCTGTCCTTTCCTCTGCTCCCCTGTGCTATGAATTTGCTGTCTTCAATCACTTGCTCATTCATCAGAGGGTGCTTCCTGGACACCTACCTGATGTGTAGCACTGGCTGCTGGATACAGAGCAAATAGGACAGAAGGGGCCCAACCCTGCCCTCATGGGTTTATAATCTCACTGAGGAGCAAATAAAATCACATGAATGTAGAGGCATAACAAAAGCATGTTTGCAGTAGAGAATGGGGATGGCTTGATACAGACTTCCAAAAAACACTAGTAGAATCATTACTGAATGTGCACAATATAATATTCCATGAAGATGAATATACACATATCCTTACTTTTAAAAAATTGCCTGAAGGCACATGCACTCACCAGAGAGAGGGTGGGGGGAGAGGCAGGCTGCACTCCCTGCAGGGGTGTGGTCACACTGCGATCTCTTCTTCATCTTCGCAGGACTTGGGGCACACACACACATACCTGGCAGGTGTTTTACGGCCACCAGGGTCGGGATTTGAACCATATGACCATGTGGGATCCGGTTCCCTTAAACACTAGGCTAGAAGGCTGGCCCTCCTTGATTTGATTATG